AATTTTGATATAGTCAATCAATCCACCTATCCTAGCATCGTAGTAACTTATAGGTTACTACGATACTAAAAAACCGAGCGAGTAAGACACATCCGTACCATTTCCATGCTAGCTTCATTACGTTCATTAGAATCGCCCTATTCGCACCGCCATAAACCAAGCTGGATCCTAGCTCTCGTGAGGACTAACTACGATCGCCACACAGTTAACCACCAATTGCCGACAGTTTAAAACGAACCTGTTGTAGCAAACATCACTTTCCCCAATGTCTTCAATTCATATTTACCTAATTTTCTCATCCAAACCCGTAATTCCTAAACATTATTTCGACACTTCGTGCTTTTCTTTCTTTTTTTTATTGTTGTTTATTGCATAGTATTTCAGCACATGTAACCTTATGTTTTAGCTTAGAACGTATTAACTTCTATTTGGCTTCGTTTACGTGAGAGCTGAGAATGTACGCGTATTGTCTTTTGTTTGTACTGCGAAAGCGTTTGTTGTCCCGCCGCCGCCTGCATGTAAAGGAGGTGAGAACTCCTTCGACCGAGTTATCGCTTTTTTTTTTTTTTGTTTCACCATTTCCATCACACTGTAATCATGGGAAATAAGCGTTATTACAATTGTCATGCTTCTTGCTCCGGGATTCCCTCTTCGGCGTTCTCAATGGATAACGCCGCAATTTGATTGGCTGCCACGCGATAATAAGATGCACGGAGCTCGCCACAGTCCGCGTTTCTTGTGATCGTAGGTACTATATTATCCTCGATGAACAACCCGCAGTATGCATTCAAAAAAAGAAAAACACGTAAGTTCTTAAAAAAAAGAAAAACTTACTTTGCAGATTGGAACGATGAGAGCTAACGTAGGTTTACCAACATCAGGGTTTTCCAAAGTCCGGCCCGCGGGTCAAGTCTGGCCCGCGAAGGACTTCCGACCGGCCCGTGGCTCGCCACGATCCTTCCAATGAAGCCCGGCCCACGGCCCGCTTTCAGCAGGACCGCTGCTGCCGGCGCTAAAATAAGTGCCCGTATGGAAACGGCGCCGATAAGCGCACCTACCGCGAGAACGGAGATGGGCAGTCAAAGCGAGAGAAAACTGTCTATCGGAAGGCGTTGCTCTGCCCAGCATTCATGAAACGTGTCATCACCAGCGTTAGCATTCTTAGCCCCCTGTTTTGTATCCATGTAACTACGTGCGTTAAAATTACTTTCCGTTCCAACGCATCCGTTGTGCTTAATGTCATGTGTCAAATCATTTGCATACTGCCAGCGTGGGTTGCATACTTCTCACTAGTCTTCTGCCCCGTGTGAAGATTCCATAGTTCTCACGTGCTTCGATTTATGCCTGGTGAGCCTTCTAGGTCTCAAGTATTGTGTAATGTCGTAACAAGCTAAATGTTGAATATAAAACGCAGGGTATATGTATCCATCCGCCTTAGATCGTTTTTTTTAATTTTTAAGCAACCTTTTGTTTGTATTTAAATTCCTACCTACGAATATTTATTTATTTGCTTATTTATATTCCGGCCCTCGAGACAGCTACAGATTCTTGATCCGGCCAATTTTCTAAAATGTTTGATGGCCCGCGGTCTAGACAAACGCACGCAGATTTTGAAAACGGCTATGTTACAAGGTGCACTCGGAATTTAGGCTGAAAGAAAATGAACACGCCAGAAGTTTGAACGTTTCGCAAAACACATACTGACGCCGTTCGACGAAAGACCCGTTGCAAAATCACCCAAACGTCGAGGAGAATGCTGGGAATGTAGGTCCACGCGCCGTCACCCGCTCGCCTTCCGCGTGTAAGAGATTCGAGGTAAATAACCAAAATAAGGCGCCGACGAACGCGTGTGCAAGATGCTATTTGTTTTAGGCTCTTCTTTTAGAACATTTATTGCTTCAGACGCCAAAACGTGCGGCGCTTAGTCCTACATTCCCAGCATTGTCGTCGATGCTTGGGTAATTTAGCCATAGGTCCATCAAAACTTCTTTTGCACGTACTCACGCCAATTCCTCTTTCGAAATTCGTCAGGCCTTTGCGCGAGCTCCCCTTTAGTAACTTTCATAGAAATATATTTTAAACAAATTTGCATTCTATCCTTCACTTAAAGAAGCTTTGCAACCGGCAGTGCCCATTAGCGCACACGCTCATTACGTGAGGAAGTTTTCGACGTTCATTAAGTCGAGCACTCCGTAATAATCTATGGGGAGCGCTCAAGCGAAGCCAAAATCACATTTGAACGTGGATGGAGGTCCGCATTGCTTAATGACTGCGACCTCGTCCAGAAAAGTCTCCCTGAATTCAACTCGTCACAGCGCGCGACAACTTGCGCGGCCGACCAACTGTACGTTAAAGTTTCTCTTTCTCTTTCTTCTCATACGCTTTATACAGGGTGTTTAATTTAATTTCCGATATATATATATATATATATATATATATATAGATATATATTGTTTTTTAGAAAGCCTCGGAAGGTACACTAATGCAGTCTGAGCGGGCAAGTTGTTGACCTTTTCATCTCAGTAGTTGCCTGACCGGCAGATAGAGAGCGCAGACGCACTCGCCACCATTAGGTTGCTTCAATTTGGCTGGTTTCGTTTTCAATGTGCACGCGGTTGTGTTCCTGTTTTATGGAGTTTTTGATTAGTTTTGTGATACAAATTCGTCTCTTGCGGCACAGAACAAATAAAAAAAGTTGTAATGAGCCACTTTGAGGGCTACTAATTAGTTTCAAGCGTGAATTGCGGGCTTATTTAAATTTTTTTAACGGTCACGTTTCGTGCATTTGATAACATTCATCGTTAATTTCGATCACGATCAGTGGCCAAACGGCTGAACTGATGTGCAGGGAAGATAACCCTCGTCTACCTGATGACGCTAGCTTCCAGGAAAATGAACTTGTGAAGAGACGAATGCATGCATCTGAAGATGCAGGTTGACAGATTGATTAGCGATGTACTGAATCGGGAAAAGCAGATAATGTCGAGAATTTACTACTGAATGTTTGGTCTTCGTGGACACCCAACTTTTTGTGAACTTCGCAGAGTAGAAAACATATGCATATAATGACTCACGGAATCTATAGAAACAAGTGATGTTGTCTCGGTCTGCCTTATTTAAAGAAATTAAGTACTCAAGAAATATTTTGTCAGTCCGATCTAGGCCGAGTAGGAAATTTCTTTGATTATCGGTTCTGCGCAAATACTCAAAAGCAGCATTTCACAAGTTTGGCATTAGGAAGTAAACTATTGATTCTATGGACATTTGCTCTTACGGCGCACTCAATATATGATATAAATGACAGGCCCGCTAAATCAAGTCTGCCACTTGTCGTTCGTAAAATTGTCCAAATAAAAGCAAAGGGCAAGTTTGGCTGAAGTTTAACACTCTAAAAAAAGCCCGTGCGTCTGCTTTCCCTCACAACACTCGGAGATCCAATCACTGCAACTTACAAAGGCAGCTTAGCGAATGACAATGCTGAAACATATGTTTAGACGAGAAAACGCAGTCTCAGTTGTGACATCAAGCAATGCAAAGCGTCACGCTTGCATTGCTTAATGTCACAACTCAGACTGCGTTTTTTCGTCTAAACATATGTTTCGGCATCGTCATTCGCTGAGCTGCCTCCGTAAGTTGCGGTGATTGGCTCTCCGAGTGTTGTGCGGGGAAAGGCGACGCACGGGCTTTTTTTAGGCGCCATTTTATGGACCTGTGCAAACATTTCTTTATTTGAAAAGAAAGTGAGTCTCTATTTTCTATCGACAATGCTGCACTGGAGTGATTTTTACGGAGTAGGCCTTTTTTTTAAAAAAATATTGCGGAAGCGGCAGTGGCGAGTTTTAGAACAGCGTAGGCGAAATCTTTCCGTACACACACAAATAAAAAAAAAAAAAAAGAATACCGTCGTATTTTTTTTTTTTTTTTGTTGGAGCCAATCAGGCAATTGGCAAGCCGGTTGTCTGGTTGGCACCGTCGCTTATAGATGGCGGTACCTGTCCAGAGGGTTGTGTGGAGTGTTATTTATGACACGAAACTGGGGAAGCTGGATCTTAACAGCTCCGCTGTAATACATGTTCGTCTTCACCTTAAAGACCACCGTTTGATCATTAATGTATACTTCTCAAACTTAAACGATCGTCCCGTATAGTATGCTGTATTCCATGCGAAGGGAATCGACTTTTTTTCAAACGTCGGCGCCAACGCCTGTGCGCCCTTGCTTGCTCAGAGTATGCGGAGCGCAGGTTCGTCTGCTACTTTTGCAGGAGTTTCGGTGACGTCAGGAAGACGCCGAGCTCTGATTGGCTCTAAGTGAAGAATAGTGGGTAGACCCCAAAACAAGCCGCCTTGAGGTCTATCCACTATCCTTCCAATCAGAACCAATCAGAGATCGGCGTTCTGACGTCACCCCACTCCCTGCAAAAGACGCAGACGAACTTGCGCTCCGCATACTCTGAGCATGTATATTGGACACGAGGCTTGCGTCAGCCTTCGGCGTGAACTCGGCTCGGTTCCAATTGGACACGAGTGCTGCGCCATCGTTCGGCGAGGACTCGGATCCAATCACGCGCTTCGTGCCCAAACAATGGCGACTGCCAATGTTGCTCGATGGAATTTTGAAAGGGGTCTTTTGGTGGCCATGTGTGTGTGTGTTAACGCGCCGCAGCTCGCAGCACGTGGAGCCAAAGCACGTGCCACAGAACCCGGGGAGGCTGGGCTCAGTCCCGTTTCGATCTTGACGAGCCCCACACTGGCACGTTGTCGTGTATCACTACTGCGACGTGAACGTTAAAGGCCCCACGCTGGCTGTCGTACAGAACCGGCTAAATTCCTCCTCTGCACAGCGGAGACATTAGAAGCAACTTGGCCTGACCAAAGGGGCTGTTCAGCTCAACGCTGTCTAAACAAACGCACAACGAACAATGTAATGCATATGATTATAGGACTTTGAAAATAATGGACACTGCCAACCTTCTTCCTCTCCCTTTTTTTGTCATTTTCAGGAGTTCAACCCGTTCTTTGCCGTGCTGTTTGTTGTAGATGTGTTCATCGCTGTTCTAAACGTGAGTATACCGCCGAATTTTTTACTCCTAAAAAAACAAATAGCATTGTTGAACGTCTATACTCCGTTTCGCACCAAATGCGAGCGAAGCCGACTCTGCGATCAAAACAGAGTCAATCGAGCAACGCCGAAACTGCATCGTCACCGCACTATTGGCCTTAGTGCGTCCCCTAACACCGCTGAAAAGATTACGCGCAGGAAAAAAAAAAGAAGAAGCAAAAGCGCAGGATCACGGGACATTCGCTGCGCGTGATTGATTGAGCTGATGATATGGCAAACGCACAGTACGACCTAAAGTCCCTGGATCTGGGAAAGTATCGCCACTGCCTTCCCACCTGCTAGCCGGACACAGACAACTACGAACACGCAAATGACAAAACCTCTCAAGGTGATTGACTCGTCGCTGTCGGTTACCATGGTGATCGCCATTTTGGACCCTTTCAAACCTTCGAAAGGGGTTGTCAATAGTCAAAACTAGTCGCATTAAGATCGCTATGGAGCATCATCGTACTGAAGGCGCTCCTCGGCCAATATGAGCGTCTTTTGCACTGTGGACGCAATCAACTTATATCCCTCATGCTTATTTCCCCAGATCTCTTACAATTAAGTTGCTCTTCTTGCGTGTTTCAAGTCAATAAAATTATATTTCAATGCCTCCGAGCACTGGTGATGCGTGTAATGGCTGTACGAAGATGTACGGCATCACACGCGGCGTCTTTGCTTGGAGGCATTGAAAAATAATTTTATTGTCTTGAAGCAGGCAAGAAGAGCAACATAATTGTAAGAGATCTGGGGAAATAAGCATGAGTGGTACGTTTATTGCATGCACAATGCAAAAGACACTCATATTGGCCGAGGAGCGCATCAGTACGATGATGCTCCATAGCGATCTTGGTGCGACTGGTTTTGACAACCCCGTTCAAAGCTTCGAAGCTTTAGAAAGGGTCCAAAATGGTGATCACCATGGCAGCTGACAACCTTGAGAGGTTTTGTCGTTTGTATGTCGGTATTTGTCTGTGTCCGGCTAGCCGGTGGGAAGGCAATGGCGCCACTTTCCCAGATCCAGGGACTTTAGGACGACCAGCGCCGTGACATGCACTTTTGAGTAACCTGATTGGCTACACCGGATGGTTGCGTCAGCTGCGCTCAAACTTAGTATCCAACGAAGCCTAAAGAACGACACCTTTTTTTCTTTCGGCAATGTTCGATTCGCGTATTGTCACAGCGGTGCGCGCAGAAACCAGTCAGTTATTCGTTTATATTTTTACTTTTTTTTAATATTCGTAATCGGTTTAGCGAGTGCTGGCAATTAAATTAGTCGGGTTCTGAGTTACAGACGCCGCATTTGGGAAATGGGGAATTAGTCAATCCCGAAGCGGCCTAATTGGGCTCGAGTGAGTGTGGTTCGTACTAGTGAGTGTCGTAGCTACAAGGTTTAATTTGTTTAGACGAGAGGAGAGAGTGGGAAGTGGACTTTGCAAACAGCGCGAAGTGTCTGAATAAAAAAAGGTCAAAATACACTATATAAAGAAAACTCTCCAGCGCGTTTCCTAAAAAGCAAACGGACAGCGCTGCGTCAGTGAGCTTGACGCCTGACGTGCAGAGTGTAGCCCAAAATAACCCAACCCCGCAATAACACGTCCAGTTTCGACCCATTCCCGAAACGAATTTTCCGTTTGAACTCGTCCCGTTTCGACCCATTACTTGAAATCCCTTTTTATTTTAACCCGTACCCAAAACACCGTTTGCGTTACAACCCGTCCCGTTTCAACCTCTTCGCGCAAACTCTCCATCAATGTAACCCTGGCCTCCAAACTTTTTCTGCTGAAAAATATATCCTGAAATATCTTTGCATGTCAACGTATTCCTAAAATATACAACGCTTTCAGACAAGCTTCAACGCAATATATTCCCATTTCAACCATTTAATTTTTCTTTTCTCAAAATGGTCTTTAAAACGTTCAACCGCAAGAAGGACTATGCACATTGCACGGCACTGTTATCGCGAACACGACGTTGGCGCTTTTTCGAATTTTGCTTCGAGATGGTATTAGTAGGCACCAAATGTTACTACTTAGTTAGTGGCCCAGAGGAGCACCTTCAAAAACACGAACAAGTTTTTGATGGCAGCGTTTTAATTCTATGAAATAAACAGCACATACCGACCATCGCTTGTTCGCGCTAACAGTGTCGCGCCCTGTGCAATAATGGAGTCTTAGAATAACGTATGCAGCCAAGTTGGGTAAGCTAAAATTAGCGTCGCCGTTGGTTTTATATCGCGACGCTATATTTAGGGTACCCAAAGCACTTGGGTGCGTTATTCAAAAACTCCGTAATAGTGAACTTGATATTTTGGGGAACGATAAATCAGACAGGTTGACAAGCATGTGCATGCGACTTTATTTGTTTACAACGTCAAGCACTGAACCTTCTCGCGCATAGTGAGTCATGAGCAAGAAAATTCCTTCACCTTCTTGAGGGAGTCGAACAAGGAAATCGTGCCATCAGAAAGGCGACACTTCAATTCTGAGAATTTGCGGCCCTCGCTGACCCACTTGTGCCCCTTGGCCTCCAAGGCACCACCACTCAGCAAGTTGTTGCAGAGATATCCTTGTCAAGGCCTTAACCTGTTTGATCAGCTCGATGAAGTTCTTAATGTTCGGGTGAGCCGTCCCTACCACCGGGTTTATCTTACGTTGCCAGGTGGTCGCTGGTCCGTGGTCCACGTTTTCCGTGGTAATTCTACCGCTGAATGGAAACATGAGCATTCATCCAGGTGTCATCAAAATACTGAAGCAAAAACAAAGACATCCTGCGCCGGTGACAGCGATGACTGCTATGCTCGTTTGCAGCAGTGCGGGCACCACAAACACGGCTGGTGATCCAATCTCCAAGGTTGTTTCGGGAGAGGGCGAAGTGAGGTCACCGAGGAGGACAGACGTTGGACGCTCGAACCGACCCAACAGATAACGAACAATGCTCGAATCGGGAAGGTTGTAGGGCGAAATCAAAAAATATGCCGGGGGTGCAAACGGGAAGGTACAAACGGGAAGACTGAACTTAAAATGGGTTCAAACGGGAACCACCCGATGTGCCTACGACATGTGCTCAGTGTCGTATCACAGCCGGTTTCTTTTTTTAAGTCCCAACTTAGTGCGGACAATGGGCATAACGTTTTACTTACTCATCCACGCGCGTACCAACGCGCTTTCTCCAGATCCTATTTTTTAGGTTCGTCGTTCGCTGGAATCCGCTTGTCATTCGCCGCGACTGACCGTCTTCGTGCTCGGTGGGAAAGCGAACACACCGCTGACTTTTTCTTGGAAAGTATATTTTCAGCGACAGTTTAGGAAATGCAAGGCGTGGCTTATGATGTTCGCGCTTCTCGCTCATTGTCGTTCGTCTCGGGATTCTGACCTGGCTGGCCAACGTCGCCATCTCATTAAATCCGAAGCGAATACTACGTGCGTGGGGCTCGCCAGGCCCCGCATTTCGGATGCTGCTATTGACTTAGACGCACCAGATTTAGTAGACTATACAATGTAACTAGTTTTTAATGTGTGAAAAAAAAGGGGGAGTCTATTTATTCATTTTCAGAAAGTGCTGCCCTCGAGAATAAAGAAACGCATACTTCGAAGAAATCATAAAAGAAGTGAATGTCGTGAAAATACAGACGCATCTCTTGACATCACAAGTAGTTTTTGCTCATCACTACTTGTGATGAGCAAAAAAAAAAAAAAAAAAACGGAGATTTGTTTTGAACGATAACGTCGATAGGAGGTGGGTGTACTGCCTGGCCGCTTGCCTTGTTCGAAAGAGATGTCCCCAAAACACGATAGTTTATGTAAAGGGGGGACCGCTTGAAAAACAAGATGGACTCCGTGACCGAACGAATGAGATCTATCCGGACAAGAGAGAGAGTTGAGACTGGCGAATTTTTACTCGAAGATACTTTGTAACCGCATGACTACGTAATTATTCGGTAAATTAAAAAAAAACTTGTTATACAACGTTGGTAGGTATCACATTCAGACGGATAACGAAGGCGGTTTAAAAAAATGGGGGGGGGGGGGGGAGACTCCGCCAGTGATGAAAGTTCTATTCTTCCGTGTTATATATATATATATTTTTAAATCTTATATCTGCCCCGAAATATAAAGAAACACTAAAAACAAATTGAGTATACCTGTTCCTTATTAGTCCGGGCGAAACAAAATTAGACCGTCTGTATGGCTTTATCCCTTAGTTTTTTCACTCGCAGGGTTTAATTATGCGCTTCTATGAAGACCCGGGCCTATCCTTATAGACCCAACAATAATGCCAGAAGTGAGAGAACAACAAGAGGTAAATTTAGTTTTAGACGCCCGGTCACCTCACGTGCCACATCACGTGTCACGCTGCCTCCGTCCACAACAAGGCGCGTCGACGACAGCCAAATACTCAATTACGCTCAACCAACGCCCTACCTAAAGAAATACGTCGAAACTTTGATATTTTAAGTTTTTTTAAAAACACCTACAACTCTTTGAAGCACGACTTCATTACTTTATATTCTTCAGCATCCTACGCTATATGTTTTTTATATACATATATATATACATATGTATATATAGCGTAATCAAAAATTTCATCGCACAACAGAGACAAGGTTATCATTTATTAAAATTGTCGAAACTTCTTTTTTACCAAGCGAAAAGAAAAAAAAGGAGCACGCTTTGTTTTGAACAAGTGGACAGAGACAGCCATCCTAAAACTAAAACTGCTAACAAAATAGTTTTGCCGTGACCACATATTTTTTTTTTTTATTACACTTCACTTCAATCGTCTCCTGGGTAATTCTGAGGTCGTTACCCGGGAATCCATTATTATTCTATAGCTTGCTTCGTTTTATAGTGTGCCATGTCACTGCGTCAGAACAACAAAAATCAAAGATTTCAGACGTCTGACCTCCAAAGGTTATTATCTCATTAGAACAACCTAAACTAGTCATTGTCCGACCTTTTTTTACGCAGTCTATGTTTAACGAAATCGATCGCGTTTCTTTTTTTATTTTACGATTAAAATTAAAATGCTCGACATTGAAGATTCGAACTCTGCCTAATTAGTACCTAACTTCGTTTCAGAGTTTCAGCGACTTTATCATTCCATTCAGCTTGGTGAAGGAGATCTGAAGAAAGTATAGGATACCATTTAGGAAAAAAAATCTACCAATGGCTTGCGAGAATTTGGCGCTTTTTGTCCATGAAAGCAATCCTCATTACATTTTTCGCGACCAGAAGTACTTCTCATTAGTTCGGATCAAAATGAATATTAAGGTAAAAGTGACGGCTAAAACAAAGCTAAAAGAAGGTCAACGTCTTTGATAATTACTTGCTGTTTGTTTCTAGGTTGATTACTTCAAATAACACTTGCATGCATTTTTAATAAAGGAAGCTGAGTATGAGACCCATATAAACAATAGTATATTTACGTATTATCTCGAATTATTTGCACAATCACATGACCCCTACCACAATTACCTCTGTGCTGTAGGATCTAAACCTTCCAATAAAAACAGAAGACGTGTACACAATTTAACCTACGAAAGATGTGTTCTCTCAAGGACACTAGGCTTCACTGATCTCTGTCTCGATTTCAGGTGTATTGTCTACTCTGCGTCTCTTCCCAGTACCAGGAGTACAAGCATGGCAGAGGAAGGACTGTCCGCTTTCACGGAGAGGTGAGCATACATTGCATGCATCTGATGCGCTCTTGAAGCTTAATTCTTAAGACGCTTATAGTGACAAGGTTAAAGGCAACTCATTAGCTGTTCATGGCCCGTAGGTTGGAGCTACGTAGAAAATTGGTCATGAGCCGCTGGAATTGATTGAAATGAGCTGCGTGCTCTTGAAATCTTGAATCGCAAACCATCTTGTCATACGATGTAAACGTACATTGCAGCCTCCTTTATTTTAGTGTTATCAAATTACCCGAAACAAAAATGCCCCCCTCCATGCAAACGTTATCGGCCGCAACTGCCACGCACGACAGGGTATGAGCGTAATGTATTATTTCAGAATATAATTACCTAAAGAGTTGATAATTAACCTCATAATTATTCAACTTAGCCTAAACATTTCAAGTAAGCATTTGAAACTCGTCGTCAAAAAAGCCGAAAGCAAGTCAAAGTTTATGTTTATTAATAAACAAAACTATACGTAGGACGTATTGCGTAAGTAAGAAAATAGAAAAAGGAAATCCTCGAAATTTTACATTAAAATGCTGGACATATACAGCCTATATTTTGACAACCAGACTCGATAGGTAATTCAGAATATTGTATATAACAAACAACAAGTATGGAACTTCATGAAATGTTTTGTGCTTAAAAGCGAACAAAAGAGGGTTACCGATATTCGCAATATAATGCGAGTTTAATTCGGTGATTTGTTACGAAAGCGGGGGAAAACCATCTGTCCACTATGGTTACTGGCAACTTAATAAATGCAGGCATTGCCACCGTACCGAGTATCTTATTATCCGGCCAATAGCATTTCATTAGGAAAAAATAAAGAGTTGTCTCTATTGCTGACATGTTTTTCTCATTAAAATAAATACCACACTCGTACGCCATATCATTCATCAGCTCGACAGATACTAGGCACATTTTATTTCTGTTTTTCATATTTTTATTTATCAAACATATATCTTTTTTCGCATCCATTGTGCAGGGCGTGACTTATATTACGTTCACCCTTCTTGCTTCGCGATAGGTCCGTCAGCGTCTTTATTGGCTAATGCCGCCATCTGATTGGCTGCGGGCGATAATGAAATACTACGGGACTCGTAACGAATTGCGTTCCTTAAGTCGTCACTGATTAAAAGCGTCGCATTCATTCGGAGTGTCCGCTTTCTGCGAAGCGTCATTTGTGCAGGTCGAAAAACGGGGCTTCTAGAAAAAAAAATCATTTGCAACATTACTTGTTTTCGGCAGAAAATCGCTCCTAATAATCACTCACTATTATAAATGGCTAAGAACATTGCAAAAGTACCACTCCCTGATAGCGTAATGGTCTGGTTAGGCGTAAATGTACCGATTTTCACCAACAAAATACTACAAAATGTTAGAGTCAAACATGAAACATTGGGGCGCAGAACAAAGGCGACAGGAAGTCGTTTTTGCAACCCAACCAAAACGAATACCATTACTTTAATGGCGACCACTATCGCAATACAACGTTACGATCGTAGCCTGCATCGACCATTGCGCTGGGGACGTAATTAGCGGCCATCCATCCATCATAAGAAGGACCTGATTGCATCACGGACATTTTTTTTTTATTTTAGGTTGTCTCGCATTCATGTTGACGTCCGGGTCTCCGATCGCTCTTACATCCCTACCGCGGACGCACAAAAACATGTACAAACCTACGCCTGGGACTGGAGCAAACGAGAAAAGAAGTATGTACGGCGCGGTTTTCGATGAAATTGATTTTGCCGTTGGGTCGTAGTACATGGAAAAGGAAACGCTACGTGATGGAGCACTCCAACGTCTTCCCGTCGGCCGGTAGCAGCTGCTGCGAGGAATAGGTAGAGAAGCCCTTCAATAAAAATGAGCGTCCCCAAAAAGCCTCTCTTCCAGAAGGTACTCCGCGAATATCGATCGTTTCCGGTGAAGAAAGGAAATTTGTTTCTTGAGTGTAAGGATGATGTTCTCAAGACTGGTGATTTGGCCCTCGTCGCTCCTGTGCACGCGCAGATGATGAAGTGATTCGTGCGAGCAAGTCGCCAGCCTTAATCGCGATGCGATTACTACGATCAAAATGAATAAGAGAGCACAAAAAAGAGAAGTAGCAGAAACAAGTAAACACAGCATTGTGTTAAAGGCACTGACAGTTTAAGAAACACAAGGTTTTATATTCAAGCTTCGTTATTCATTCCTTGGTATTCTGATCGGCAAATGCAGATATCTGGTTATCTCTTATCGGGTCTGTTATGAGTGGAAGGACTGACCTAGACCATGCCAACCGGGTCGTCACAATCTTCAACCACGCCACAAGGCGCCGAACTTCTACCTCGACCACAAGGGAGTCGCGCCCTGCTCGCAGCCAATCACCGTCGCTCACATCTACCAACCAATGGGAGCGCAAGCTATGATGCTTCCTAAAAGGCGACATAAATAGAAGCACGGGCTCGCACAAATGTTCGCTGGTCGTTCCAGAAGCGAGGCATCATCGCATCATCGTTTTAAATATATCGTTCATAAATGTTAATCTGGAACGGGTCATCTGCCCGGAACCCCCCTCATCCAAAACTTAATAGGGCTCACCAAGCCCCACGTTCCTTAAGCCGCCAGCGACTAGTAATTTTTCTTGCGTACTCTCTGTGCTGCTTTTTTTATTATGATTATGCACCGGCTTGTGCAAATACACACCTTGTTTCAAATTAGTATAAAGTTTTGTATAAAATGTTGCGCGGTGTATGCTGCTTTTGAAGATCCAATATTTCCTACGTCGATTGTCAAACGGAAATATTTGTATTTTTTTTTTTTGCGAAAGTGTGGTTTGCGGTTTGCGAGACGCAACGGCTCAGCTATGCAATTATTAAACGTGAGCTTTTAAGAGTTGACATGGTTGTGAACAATGAAGACAGGAAAATAGTATTTCTTTCTTGCCTTTCTACATTGAAATATAAATAAAGTATCTAAAAGAAGCGAGCTTAAATAAACTAAACTGAGCTAAAATCCCCAAAGCTAACCTAATCTAACGTAGCCTAACCTAACCCAACCCAACCCAACGAACTCTAATTAGTTGCACTACGAAACGAGCTAGAACAATGCGACATCAGAAAATTAGATGCCCTGGAGTGACGCCAAAATCAACGTGATACAATGCCACCCACTATATTCGAAGCGCAAGTTCGTCTGCTTTTTAGCGGGGTTTGTGGTGACGCCCAAACGCCGAGCTTTGATTGGCTCTGATTGAAGGAGAGTGGGTAGACCTCAAAGCAAGCTGCCTTCAGGTCTACCCACTGTCCTTTAAACAGAACCAATCAGTGCCCGACGTTCGGACGTCACCACAACCCCTGAAAAGAAAAGCAAACGAACTTCCGTTCCGCAAAAGAATTTTATAACAACCGAGAATGAACGCTACGCAAATACTCTAAAACAAACATACACAATTATCATCGGTGTTAAAACAAGTCTTAAGGCGTAATCAAGAAGCGTATTTAAGGAAGTATCATTCTGGTTTGAGCCGATCAGTATATCAATAAGTGAAGTTAGACCGTCTTCAATCAGGTTGGGCCGGTTTTGCTAAAGACTATTTAGAAGCACTTACTAGCGATAATAACTGAATACACTTTGTTTTTCGTTCTAGGCAATGGCATTTGCTCAACAAATTAGAGGAACACGAGCATCGTTCATCCATCAACTCGGAGCCAGGACATGTAGCTACGTGGCCTGGTGCCTATCCTATACCGCCATAGACTACGCCTACATGAACGCGATCGTAGCGCATTGAATCGAGCAAGGACCAATCGCACGCCTCCAGTCTTCGTACCTCTTCGCCTTCTACCCCTCTACTACCAATCAAAATAGTCAAATCTTGATTCAATGGGCAACGGTCGCATCCATGTAAATGCAGCCAACGTTTATCATAGGCACACGCTGGGGTTGGCAAAGCAGAAAACGCGTGCTGAGCTCCAGGCATTGTTAGACTTGGGCGATTCCCATCACCGCAGCGGTTCGACACGAGCCATTACCCGAGGGTCCGCCGAGGCATTGATTGTTACGTGCCAAAGTCCAGTGCTTACGCAGTTTTCCTGACCAATCCATGAGCAGCTCTCTCGACTGTCATCAGGCGTTTGGTTTCAATCCCACAATTACATCATCGAGCTTTGCGAAGGCAAGACTGAAAAAACTAGTCCCCTTTTATCCTCGCGATTTCACCGCGACAAAGTAGCTTCTGAATCAGTGGCGGTCCGTGCGAGTATACTTGGGCCAGTCTAGGACCAGTACGCCTCTGCAAAGTCATGAACATTCCAACTCGATGTTGTTTCAGGAAAACCGTAGGCTGGAAGAAATGAAACATACGTCTGTGAAGGCAATACGGTATATTAAGTCAAGTACAAGTGGCTTTACTGCATTCCATGTTTTATTGTGTTCGTTTATTTATTTATTTATTTATTTATTTATTTTACCCTCAGGGCACAAAGGCATTACAGAGGGGAGTGGGGAATAAAAGCAATAAGAATACACAAGGAACAATGAACAAAATCTCAAACAACTCAAACAATAGAGAACATGAGGTTGGTAATAGAATTACAAAAAAGAGCGTGGTCAGTCATTGATGTGAGAGATGCAGGTAAGCGGTTCCAATCGTTAGAAGTTCTTGGAATAAAAGAAGCGTAATAAACGTTAGAGTGACAAAATGGTACACCAACTTTTTGACGATGATCAAGGCGTGCTGAAATAAAGTATGGGGGGATTATCATTTGGGCTTTTAGGTAAGGAACATGGTGATAGATTTTATGAAAAAGGGAGATTCGAAAAACCATGCGACGATGTGCGAGGGTCGGAAGTAATAATGTGCTTTTCATTGACGTTACGCTTGCTGTGCGGTTATAGTTGGCCAGTATAAAACGTGTAGCTCTGTTCTGAACTCCTTCAAGTGAGTTAATGAGGTAGATGGTTGAGGGATCCCAGATGGAAGCTGCATATTCGAGCTTAGGCCTAACTTGACTAAGATTCTGTCCAACTTGGTACGTTTCATAGGATTATATCGCTCTTTCTTCCTTAAAATCAATTTGACATATTTGTGGCAATGAAGATGGATCCCGAACACATGAATTTCATTTTATTTCATTTATATTCAAGGACATCCTTTCGGAAGTCCTTGAGTCGTTGCTACGTTAGCGCGCGCACTTTCGTCTCTATGATTTTGTTGTCTTATTCTGTGATGGCGCCGACAGTTTCAGGACCCTATGAAGAGGCCGAGGTCTCAGAAGCACCCGGACGCAGACGGCAACTACTCGCCGACAAAGCCTTCGATCTTCATCGGCGACGACTTGGTCTCCTCGTCCATCACCAAGCTGAGCACGAGCACAACACGAAGGTCGTCCGGTAAGTGGAGGAAGAAAAACACCGCCCACACGAACGGAAACCCATCAGTCTTATAACAAAGTTTGGAACGAACACCGATATGTATTCTCTAACCACAATGCCTGGAACGCGTCTTCGACCATAGCCACTAACGAGGTGAAAACGTCAAGGAAGTCCTCCAGGTGTACCGTCTTCATCAGAGGGGCAGACGTAAAGAAGAAAGGAGAGGGGTTGAGGCGACCGCCGCCTCCCCTCTCCCTTAAGTCCCCCAAGGACGACTTCTATAACAAAAAAGAGAGACATACACCAGCTTTTTTTAAAGAAATGTTTAGTTTTGGGTCAAGTGGCGATTATTAGGTCAGCAAAATAGATTTGGGCAAAGCTTCACTCATGACGTCACATCCGTCCGTGGCGTCAAATCTCTCCCCGTGCCCCTTTTCGAGCCTGACCTATAAATCCGCCTCTGCTTCAGCGGCGTGAGCTTCCTTCCTTCGGTAACGCTTCCGCGTCTCACGAATCACTTGCCCCCAGGCCCAGTCAATGACACGGTGGAAGTCAATGACCGCATGCTGGACGCCGGGAACCCGAAAGAGGTGCCCGGTCATTCTAACCTTGTCGGTGACCATAGGCTGGTTACCGTCATATCCAGTCCATGCATCGAGAGCGGTGCCGAAGGGCCAATAAATGGCTTCGCATGAGCCGGTGTACCGTACTGCAGAGCCGTATATTGGGACAGTTTGGCCAATAGGCGGAGCAAAGACCGCCGTCACCACCGAATACTCCCCCCCTCCCCGCGGTTAGAGCATAAACTAAAAGTGCTACACAGCGTCGACCAATTAGCAAACTGCGACGTCACAATATTGGAAACGACATTTAAAACGTGAAATAGAAGCGTTCAATCTCGGCGTCTCAGTGGCAGTTTGCTCTGGGCCGGCTTGCTAGAACAGTGTCTCAGCTGAGACTCGGTGGAAGAAAGCACTGCAGAGGCCGGGGAGCACGAGCGTCTTGAGACGCGGATTGAGTCCCGCTCAACTCATGCGCTGGCTTTAGCAGTGCTTTCTTTGCCTCAGTCTCAGCTGAGACGCTCTTTCTAGCACGCCGGCCCTGGTTTGGAGCGCACGTTCGTTTATTCTACTGTTGAATATGGACGTCGTGAAAAACCTCACATGCGCGAAGTTTTCAGTCACCAAAGGCACACCCATACCTTTTGACTATAGCGACGCTAAAGCGGGTTAAATTAGTCAAGTCTGATTTTTAGAACTTATGACCAAACGAATGAATGGTCAAACTCTCCCAATGCACGACTCTGCCATACTATCGGATGTCGCAATCCTGGCGGTTCCTTGTATAAATGCCGGTGAAATAGGTGGGTGGACGCAAGGCTCGCTATCGCCGCGTCTTCGAATCTCGCGCCTGCTTTGATCCCCTTCGAACGTCTACAGTCACTGACAAAATAAGAACGGCATGGGTGTGCCTTTGGGAGCCTACAGCACGCGCTCCGTGTCTTCCCGCCTGCATTCACTTCACGCGTGCGCTCGGGGTGCGCAAAGCGCTGTCCAAGGTAGAAAGCTGGCGCTCGGGGCGGGACAACCGAAGCTCCTCCCTGTCGTTCTCGCCCTTGTCTGTGACTTTACGGGTACAAACTGCGAAAGAGGAGACGTAGACGAAAAGCTAGCCTGCCCTGGTCCCTAGTCACTCTCCAAACACATTCGAACGCTGCCGTCGCCATTCCGGCGTTAGGTGTTTACGTTCGAATGGGTTCGAGCAGTGATTAGACGCAAAGGCAGTTAGTTAGCTTTGTGCCTACCCGGTAATCATTCCAGCCAGAGCTCGGCGCTCCGGCATCCCCGCGCTCTCTCGTCTCCTCCTCTCCCGCAGTTGCCGCCCGTATAGCTGCAGAGCGCAATTCCGCCGCTGTGCCACCGCAACCTGTGCCACCGCAACTATTGCTGCAGGCTACAGCGTGACACTTTTACGAGGCCATCGGGCAGAAATCGAGGGTTCACATGTAGGGACGCGGAAAACACGCCAATCGGAAACACGTTCCATAGCGCATATTGCCTGTGGCCTGCACGCTTCTTCATTGCCTCACTTCTCCGCGTCCAGCGCTCAGTTCGTGCAAGCTGACGCCGATCAAGGAGGAGCAGGCGACGCGAGCGCGACCCAACGGCCTGGGCGACACCCTACACCAGAGCCTGGGCGCCACGGAGAGCGGGGAGTCGCTGTCCCACGTGTACCTGGTCCCCCCGAGGCACAGCCCCGTCGAGCTGGACGAAGACCAGGATGAGGACAGCAGCAGGGGAGCCTCGCAGAACTCAGACTCGGGCCCCGTCTCCCAAGTGGTCACCGACGACGGCGAGAAGTGGAACATCTGACGGTTAGTATCCCCACTATACTCCATCTCGCAAATGTCTGCGGTAAAATCCAAAGTCACAGGCGCGTCAGGCTAGCTCGGCAGAATACTTTTTTTCGTACGAGAACTCGTGCCTAAGAGGCCCTTTCCAAAGCCACGTGCCCGTGCCCATGCCTTTGCTCGCACCGCAAACGTTTGTGAGATGGACGATAGAGTCACTGAGAGCACGAAAAGGGCAAGACGAGTCTCGCCAATGCCCGGCCTTCGGTGCGCGCTCGTTGCCTTCCACGGTGCTTTGCCTGCGCGTGCAGGCTCGAGGCCCACGAGGTGCCGAAGCGTTATGAAAGGTGGCGAGCGCGCACTGGATGCCGCACAACCAAAAGTCCTCCCTGTCATTCTCATCCCGTCAAAAACAGCGGGCGAATATTTGGAGTCCCTAGACCACCAGTGCTACGTCTTAGAAGTGTGGCGTCTACTGTCGTTTTAGGTTATGAAATGGCTTATATTAAACCCCTGCTCCCCAAGAACTGCCCGTTCTTCCAGCCTTTACCCAAAGGGCGATGAGTGTCGTTACCGACAGGTGATTACCGTGGAAACATAAGCCAAACAATAAACGTATTAATTTTTTTTTTCAAATCTACACTGACATTTATTCATCCTCACCATGAATTGAACTCAAAACCTCTCGGTTCATAGCCCGACACTCTATCTTTGCGACAGCTAGACACACCGGCAAATATGCATGCCCTATGTCCTCTAGACTAGTCACTAGAGTATTGAGAACGTCATCGAGTGTCTTTCGAAGGCCCGGCCTGCAGCACACGCTCCCTGTCTTCCGCCGTGCTTTAGCTCCTCGCGCGCTGTCGGGGTGCACAAAACGCCGAGGTATTGCCGTAGGAAAAAAGCTTGCGTTGGAGACGGGACAACTGAAGCACCTGCCTTCCGGTCTTGCCTTGTCAATGAGTTTAAAATTACCACATGCTGATAATATTCACAGTGCATGAAGCTGGCCTACAAATAGTGATGGTGGCTAATAAAAACACATATCCTTCTGATCCCCCAATGGAATCTTTGATGTCTCGTAAACAAATTTTAACGGTCGCCTCTTCAAAACAGAAGTGTTCCTAAATTATACATGCATTTGTTGTTCTTCACGTGGTATTTGAGTATTTTCTTAAAACACCCGAGCCTGGGTGGGGGCTCTAGGAGCAACAAAGTCTCAACCTCAGCTGAGTTTGAAAGTTGGGCGTCAGAAGACGACAGAAACGAACTTCTCAAACTCAGCCGAGTCTGAGACGATAGCTTATGTCGCCTTTGCCCCGTTTCTTCACTTCAGTTGCTTTTAGAGTGTCCTCCCAGTCTCGGGTATTTTAAGAAAATTGTCAACTTTCACCAGCTCGCCTGCTCCATTACTATGTTATGGTATCAATAATGTTTTTTTTTGTGTGTGTATGTTTAATCTTTATTTTATTTACAAAACTTTTTAGTATCCTATTTTCTTCGTAATTATAAGGGATCAATAACCAAATATATACTAAGTGACTTCGCAATTTCCGGTATGTCGGTAGTTCTAACCAGCCTTCTCTTTCATCCCCAGGTGTATCAAGCCTTAAAAACTCCTCAACCGGAAAAGACGATGACGCCGTCGTTTACCCGAGAAAAACAGTAATAAAGTCTAAAGAGAGCTAGAATGACGACGGCGGACGAGGACACAAAGCCGCGGTGCCTTACGCTTCCCGACGAAGGTATCAGGGACGACAGAACCCAGCCGACGAGATCCTGCCCAAGACTGCAACTTTCCCAGAAGAGCTTTTCCACGCCCTTCCCCTATCGCCGACTACCGACCGTTTGGCGCCAAAAAGCAGTGTAAAACTTTTATGACTGTTGATTTCTGTCCCATCAGCTAACGGCGTTTTAGATGTATATTTGTTTTTATTGGCAGTTGGTTATGTTGGGGTTCAACGGGTAGTTTTAGCGTCTGCGATAAAAATATAGGTAAAAATAAGTTTCGTGTTTTCTTTTATAGAAATATATCTTTTCGCCTTTCGATGTCACAGAGCAATGATGTGACGCCGAGCGTCGGCAAATAAGTAATAAAATTAGAAAAAACAAAAATGACGACGACCCATATATACGTGTTGGACTGGAGCTTCGAATGTGTTTTCTTTTCAAATGTGCGACTTTATATGTCTAGACCATGTATGGCATCTCACTTTTATTGGATGTGTTACACAATACCAAAACCTTTCCGTACCAAAAAAAAAGATATATATTTATTTTCGAAAAAAAAGTATGTTGAATTTCGTATTTTTAGCCTCTTCTCGCATTGGAACTTGTGTTTCCCTAAACTAACTTTAACTGGAAATAACGACATTGTACTTGTTAGATACCTTTTTGGTTAAGCTTTCATTGGATGTATAATTTTTGCCATAGCATTGAACGTAACAAGAATTGATGTCATCCGAACAACGTTAAATTGATTATCAAAAAACATAGATTCTGAATTTTAAAAATAATAAATCGAAATAAAAACATAACTTGTGGCCAGTTTTTGTTTTCCTCCAAAATAAAAACGATGTACAAAGTTTACTGGTGGTACAAAATGCATTTCAGCCTGGCGAAGCGCCCAAAAGTTTGACCTGTGACGATCGCCGAAATTTCACAATCCGTCTTTGGTCCTTTCAAAGTCAAAAACCGAAGAGCTGAACATCTGCTGCAAAAAAGCTTTCAGTTTTGTTCTAGTTAAGAGTTGGCCCAGCTTATATATTTTCTGAAATGTTTTTGTATCATCCACTTTTTTTTTCTTGCTCGATTTGAAATTAAATCGCTCATATGATATATTCTCTAAGTCGTGCTTGCTGATGACATACCAACTTCTCCAACCGGGATGCTAAATATCTTTAAAAAAAAAAAAAAAAAAAAAAACTTTATAATGCATTAATATTTACTAGTGTGACCTTCCATTCAAAAGGATGACGAGGCCTTCACGTTTTTCAAACACACCAAATGATGCTGGTTATTTTACGTGAATTCCTAAATTAAAGCTGTTAATCTGGAACAGGCATTTAGTGTTAAAGTTGGGAAACACTTTCGAGTTACCCGACGGGTGCTTTCTCACAATGGGCAATGTTCGAGATGTAGTTTTCTGTTATATGTGTTTAAAATCACAAAAATACACTTCACTATATGATAGAAATAAAAAGGGACATTTTATTACATTAAAAAAAATTAATCCCGAGAGGTCAGGATTCTATCAAAGCTCAAGTCGTTTGGTATAACCGTTCATCTGTTTGTCATTACGTACCGTTCTGAGGCACACAAGTTCAGAGAATACTTGATCACACCGGGGTAAGTAATATTTTTTTTAATATAATTCCAAATTGAAATGAATCTTCAAAGTTACCGCTGTCAGGCAGTACCACAGGGCGTTCAAGTCGCAAACTAGTTATGGTAGTCCGTGAGATAGGCACACCTTTATTGTACAGTTACCACAATGTTCAGTCAACGCCGAGACATCGGGTGACCTGCTTCTTCGTGTCATGTTTCTTCTGATTTGTTTCTTCGTACTGTTCAATAGAAAACAAACTTCAACCACTTTGTCTCGGTGTCAATTTTCTATGGCGCGGAGTAACAAAAAAAATGTTAGAACTGCTACTTTATTGAAAGTGGATCTTGTTATCTCTACAGAATCATAAGCGCATGCAAATATGAGCGTTTCTGACAGTCGTGTTTTTTGGGCAATTCGTACAGGGCTTCGTAAAACTTTTTTTCAGACATTTCCTAAAGGTGTTTCAATCGCTGGCCTCCTACTGCCGCATCGTCCATGATACCAGCCTAAACCATAAGTGACGCAGCGAAATGGAAATAAAAAGCCGCAATAAGTTGTGTCGGAATCAGCGTTACCATTAGCTTTTAAGGCGCACCAATTAAACGGGGAGCGCTGTTGCCAGCACACTTTTAGGTCATTACTTTTGAAGAAATCTCTCAAAGCAGGGTAGCTATATGGTATGAACATGGACAGGTGCTAGATGTTTAGCACAATTAGTGAAATGATCATTAAATAGAGCAAAGGGTACACACAGATAAGAACACGAAGATGGGACAAGCGTTACGGGTAGCTCTTGTCCAGTCTTCGTGTTCTTCCTTTGTGCTATTTATTGTTTATCATGCTTCACCAACTAGCCAACTTTAACGTTTTAGTACAATTAGCGAACCTAGGCAGAAGTTTGAAAGAGTAAACCTTTCATGGGCTTCAATCCTGGGACCTTTCTAAAGTAAAAGAACACACTACAAAGTATGCTAACCGGGCATTACTCGTCATCACAATGGACAAATTGTATTAAGAGGGCGCGGTACCTCTATTTATTCGTCCGTTTCAGCCACCAGATGGCGCGCGGCTCGAAACGTGGTTGAACGCGCAACTTCTAGATGGCGCCAGTATCGAGGTGTGAAAAGGCCCGCGTTATCCGCTGCGTGAAATAGATCCCGAAATGTGACGTGTTCTCCAGGCGGAGGAAGTTTCTCCCTCCCTCGCGCGCGCTTGGTATCTACGCGCGGTGGCCGAGTCCGGCCTCTGCGCTGTGTGATGCAGTGGGTGGCGCTCGTTTCTGTTCGGAGGTAGGAATAAAAATGCCGGTCCCCTTTTTTACGACGCTCGTTTCTATAGCTTGTTTTTCTTCTCTTTTTTTTATCTCAAGTGACCTACAGTACCGCCTGTTCGAAATCGTCCTTTGCGGTGAGCGATTGAGAGTCAGGTTAGCATTTTATTTGGGTCAGCACTACACGTTCAATGGAGACCTCGGGCGGCGAGGTAAATATGCATTGCTCCCCAAAGTGTGTCCAAGGTGCGCAATGACAATTGGAAAGGGTATTGAAGGCGCGCGACCGTCGGTTGGTAAAATACGTGCGTTAGATTCACTTATTCAGTCTAATCATTTTTGCCAACGTCTTTTATCTGTTTCGACAAATGACATGGTCGAGTCTATTGATAACCTTAGCTAGATTGGACGTACGGAGTGTCCGCGCTTTAAATAAATTTGCTTCGTTTATGTGAATGAATAACTGTTTTCTCTTTTCCGTGCTCGGTTCTATGCAAAAATCGCTGAGATGTTATGGTAGCTCAGTGTGGCGGCGTTTTGCACGCTGACTCGCTATTGCATTCGCTGTGCACAATATGTGTTCAGATGGAATGTGCCAAATCGTATTTCCGATCGATATGATAGATTTACTTTGCTACAGTGTTAATTATATTTTCCTGATTTAAACTGGTTCGTCCCTGATCTGAGCCTAAGTTCAAATGCGAAGGGCAGACAGACTTAGCGTAGTAACAGCCGTAATGCGCAGAAAGAAATTAGTACCATGAAAGAAAAACAAAAGGATACGAGGTGGCTCAGTGTTATAGAAGTAATGAGTGTGCAAAAAATGCCATCGTACGTGTTGTTGTTTTTTTTTAACTCTCCGCATCGCTGGGAAACGCTCAAGGTACCAGCAAAGACAGCGAGCTGGCGTGAAATTTCCATCGAGGGGAAAACGAGTGTCGTTTTTATTTCATCATGCGCTTTCATTTTGATATGGCTCAAAATGAGCGCGAAATAGTAACAGGTAAGGCAACAGAATTTAGATGTTAGGTCTGGAGCACCGCCATACCCAGCCGTGTTGGGGGCATCTCTCGCGAGTCAATACGGCAAAAGTATTGCGCGTCGAACTGTACGTGAGAGTTATCCATTTCAGCGAAACCTTGATTTCGCAAAACTATTGTGGCTCGAGTCGTGGCTTCCAGTACTTGGAAGCCACGAGCGAGAAATAAATGACAGTTGATTTTGAAGGACAATCGCGACGTGGAAACCCATAAAAGAGAGTTCCAATAAGACGAGAGCTTCCCCTTCTCTTCAAGTGCGTGGGTTACGCTCTCAATCCTGCACCTGTGGTAACACTGCAGGCTCCTAAAATCGCTTTGAAAACGTTCCTGATCGCAACAACTTTTTTTTTTTTTTTTGTCGAGGCGCTATTTCATTTTTTTTTCTTTTTGTCTACCTTGATACCCCATCAGCACAAAAGCTACCAATAACTAAAAAAAAAAAAAAAAACATAGTGGGCATACAACGACAACGCACCCACTGGGACCCGAGTCAAGGCAAGAACAACTAACTACTAAAAGGGGAAAAAATCATGTTCGCATACACGGACAGAACGCCTCCATCGAAAGGAATGAATCATGCGCTTGTTCTGCCAGTCTCGTTGTGCGTCTGTCAAAAGCCACAAAGGAGGAAGACAATCAGAGCCTACACCACTCCCCTCCCCTCCCCCCCCCCCCCCCCCCACCACCCCTAAAAAGAAGAAAAAAAAAGGTTTCCTGGGCGCGCGCGCGGTCGCCCACGCGATGACCTTGGAAGGGTATGCGATTGTAGCACGTTTGTCCCCCGGTTGTGCCCCTGTCTCAAATGCCAAGGTCCGTTTCTCCCAAGTGCCCGTCTTATCTTCCCGAGTATCAACTCCGCAGTGATTCTGAATCATTCCGATGCTTTCCAACGTTGCAAAACTGTTAGACGAATATCTGCACAGAAGTATACACTGTTCGCAGAACTATCTACGGCGCTAAAATTCAAAAGCGCCGTGTTGGATTCGGGAACTCGTGTAGGTTTAGCTCATTGTTGGAACATTCTTATTCGCTCGATGAATTCCACAAAACGTGTAAATATTAGAATGAACTTTCCAGAGAACGATAGTTGTTGTCGGGGTTCCAGACGACCGGACAGGTCGCAATTATTGGCTGATTAAAAATTTCATTTCATAATCACAATCGTATCATCAAGGGCACGCCATTTCCTCATCACTTCTTCTACGAAAAGAGTTGCTGTATTCGTAGCACACACAGATGGAAACGGTTGAGACTGTGCCGAAATAATATCTTCTTTTGGCAGGTGCTGCGCAGCGATTACACACAATACCTCTAACATAAACATGCTGCTCCACATGTCTATTCACAAGATGCAATACATCGTTCTCCCAACTTTGTTGAAATGGCCATGAAAGCGCGTAACCGTCACTTTTTTAAAGTTCTACTTAGAGGTGAAGTGTTTACCGTAAAAAGTCGTTAATTATTTATTTTTTTCCGTTCCACTACAAAGCTCGATTCCCTTAAATTTTTGTTTTTATATCGTCTCTACAGCGCTTTTACGTCGTTACTTTCGTGCATCACATAATGTGCGAAAAAAAAAACAACAAAAAAACGGTAGGATCGATGCTGCATAGCCTTTTTTTTTTGTGGACATCAAGAAAAAAAAAAAGATAGTAGTTGTCTTCACTTCGCACTGCATGTTTTAGCACGGAAGTTCCTATTTGGTTATGATGTCTTTACTTTCTTAAAAATTGTATACAGTAATTTAAATTACCGAATTACAAAAACGTCGAAATTGTATAATTGCTTTTCGTTGGGACGCCATGACGACAGCGACACTCGTGTTCCCTCGTGGCTTTCGTCAGCCTTTCTACGATGAATTGCCAGGATCGCGAGATGCAACAGCGTGACACTCCGTCTTCTGTGACGTCATTTGTTGCACTTCGGAACCACTTTTGATGTATGGCCAGCATAAGACGCTAACCACACCTGTCGGAGACGCGCTGCAGGTGCCATAGTACTGCTCCTAAAAGTAGCTGTCACGTGCTTTGCTCCGCGACTGTGATTCCCTCACAGCAGCCCTGACTGAGGGTTGCCAAATTACGGTGAAACGGAGTATAGACAAAACAAACCGGAAACGAGCTGCCAGCATACGATAGTCAAACTCCAACAAAAAGGATTAGTTTCTTCCCAAGCTGGAAGACATTTACCGGGCATCTTTAGAGCTGCGAAGCTCAAAATCACGCGTACTCATAAGATTTTTTTTTCTCGCGTGTTTGTGATTTTTATGATGTCCTGCAAGCAAGAAAAAAATATATATGGTGAAGTCACTCCGAGGGGGTACCGATAACTGCGAGCCACGAACATGAAGGATTCGCTAGCATCCGTCAGGAGTGTGAACGGTAAATCGTCACGCAAACATATTCTCACAAGCTGCAAATATTTATTTGGCTTAGCAAGTAGAATACTAGTATACTAACGACATGTGATTATTGTACACAAGATACCATTTCTCGGTTCTTCAAAACCATTTCCCTAGTCTGAACGGTCGCGCTACGGGCCGCGGCTAGCCGTGCCCTCGATAGACTACGGAGCTGCGTTGTGCCGTCTGCTACTATACCGCCAACAGGAGAGCGATAGCTCTGTGTGCTCCACAGATGCGTGTTGCGGTATAACTCTGTACGTCTGTCCTAGAGGAAGACAAAAAGATAGGCTCTAGCTGTGACCCCCTCCTAAGCTAACAACAACAAACAGAAGTATACTCGTTTGGACTGAAAGGTTTACAAAATAGTGACCAGACATTGGAAAAGCATATGTCACAGAACTTGGTTTATGAAATGGCATCATTGTTTCGAGCAAGAAATCACCTGCTCACCACTGGGACGATGAAATCGTCACTATTTATTGCGTCAGGTA